GGGGCAGTAAGCACATTATTTCTGCAGTAAAAAACACTGCACACAAGTGAAAGTCATAGAATAAACTTAATTCAGGCATTGGCATAAAAGTACTGTAAAGGTCACCAGTTTCAAATTCAGAACATTTTTTAAAGAAAATATTTTAAACGATTTACCAAATCGAATCCACAATTACGCGTTAAAATTGTCAATGTTTCTCAGTAAAACACGCTCCATTACCTCCCCTAAAGTGATAGGAGCTAACATAGAACCTTCGTGTAAATTGCTTTCCAAAATAACTAAATCACAAATAAAAGAGTTCAGATTTGACAAAATTGTATTCTCGACTTAGCAAATAGTACAATTTTAGAAAGTTAAAATTTGTGTAAATACGTTTGATGGTTTATTTCTCTCCATGTGCGGCGAGAGCATAGCAATTATCGTTTCTTGGTCTATTCATTCGCCTCCAATTTACTGACATTTAACTGGGGTTCTACGATCAAACAGATAAATATTTGTGTATTCAAACTACGTTGTATATACAGTACAGGACGGACGAGAAACGTGTGCCGTACTAGATAAGTGTTCAAACAACAGGTTTGTCACAGGTTAACTCTTTTAGACGTAGTGGATACAGAATAATATTACATGTCACGATGGGGGAGAATCTCGTCAATTTCTGGCCATGTGGAGTTTCTGGTATCACCTTATAGCTTATGGATTTGTTTTACTTTGAATGAAAAAAAAATACTCATCCATTTGAAATAGAATACGAGATATATGTGATTGAAAGAGGTCACCTGTGGTCAAAAGTAAAATTAGTGAGAAAATCGCCACCAAACTTCGAGACTTTCAAAGGTGTACTTTATTTGAAAATGTCAAATTTACATGAATTTTGTGTCTTTGATGAACGTTTTTAAGTAACATCCACACGTGCATTTGTTTTTAAATAGACTTTAAAAATTGCAGAGCCGAAAATAAAATTTGTTAAAAATTGCCTAACAGGCGGCAAAAATCCCAATTTCTTTAAACTAATTATTTTGACGAGCGCCTGATTTCACCACAACACCTAAAAAACTATGTGTCCGATCAGGAGCGAACCAAAGCGAATATTATGCCACATTTCGAAGCATCATACACATATCAGAAAGACAAATAAAATTATTGTATAGTGTGCATGTTGATGCTTGTGTTTTCAAGTTTTACGTAAAGAAACAAGAATTTAAAACTCTGAATTGAAGCTATTATGCTTCTTGTGTCAAGTTTAGTTTGTAGCTTAGTAAAAACGTTTATGTCATAAGCGCGCTTCTTGTCTCTAATGGCCCTAAACAGAATTAGAAACTCTGAATGAAATAAATAACGAAGATTATTAAGGTTCGCGTATTAAATGTCCCCCAACTAGCGTTAAGAAAAACTGGAATGCGCGTCCACACTGAGCTTCTGTAAGTCTGTGAGTGTGAGTTTCTCTACGTGTTTGATGTAAGAGTACAACGAGTCTGTGAATCCGAAATTGTTTTGTTTATTCGTTTTTTTTGTTTGTTTGTTGAATTATTGTTCTTTTTTTTTTTGGTTTGTTTTTGTTTTGTTTTCAATGGAAGAGTTTTATAACCCCGTCGACACAATGCAGATCGTTTAGAAAGCAGGCTTTGACCCAACCTGTCAGGGACGACCCAGGCTGAGACTGAGATGGATACAACGTACCAACAAGAACACAGAGATACGCCATACAATTATCCCTAAACGAGAATAATTGAACTCAGGTCTTCTGCATGTGACAGCGAAGGGCTTAACTGCTACACCACATACGCCGGTGACTCTGATGAGAAATGAGACATTACGTAAGACAAGTACACAAGCGAACAAATACAATGGAAACGGTCTAAGACGGCCGTCTATTTATAGTCGAGGAGAAGAGGGGTTGTCTTAGACAGGTGGTTGTCCTACACAATGTCTTTATAAGGTTAAAAAAACAAAAGGAGGAGGCAGGGGATGTGGTCGTTTGTACAGGTGGTTGTCTTGTACACGTGGCCGTTAGAACTTAGAGCAAGTTGGATTGTAATGTGAGCCATATGAGCCTTCGTACCGAAAACAGGCGCTCGTTAAATTAATGAAATCGAAGATACCGGCAATTTTGTTCCGGTTTGGCAATGTTTTTATCTTTTTTTTTATGGCTCTTCAAAAATTATATTTCTGTGTGGATTTTACTTTTCTTTAAATGTTGATTAAAGGCACACAAAATGTACGCTTTCAGTTTTAAAGGGCTTTCATGCTGTGAGACTCATGAAGCTTTGGTGACATAATATTCTCTCTAATTTTACTTCTGAAACCAGGCGACCCCTGCCTTCTTCAATAGCAAATATCTAGACGTCTATTCAAGACCGTTATTTTTTTATGGAAAGCAAGACAAGTAAAAAGCTTTTTAGATAAAATCAATAAATACACATTAAAACTGACGAGCAGCTGATTCCATAATATTGTAATGGTAAGAATGCTCCACATGGGAATCAGCTCTTTTTCGATTGTTTGTAGGAAAGTATCATTGTTTGATGTTTTCCTAATTCCGTTATCGATTCTTTTGTCTGACAAGAATCATGCATAATATATTTTAACACTCAGTTTGACAATCTTTTCTCGCTTTCACAGAAACTACCCACATCGACTTCCTTGTGCTAAAGTCAAATCTGACACTAAGTACGGGAAGTGTCCTAGTTTGAGTTCATCAATTTCATTAGAGGGAGAAAGTCGTTCGTCATATACGAAAAATATTTGTTGTTAAAGAGGTTATAGGACCAACAAAACAAAAAAGCAAAAACACACACAAGAAAGCCTAACAAACAAACAAAACAAAAACAAAGACTGTTGGTTTTGTCGCAAATAGATCTATCCTACGACGAAAAAAGTGCTAGGAATACTATCGGGAGTAAACATTGTTTCCCTATATCTTAAGAAGTCTTCTTTGAGGGAATGCATGTTGTTTGACGAAAGTATTTTTCGAGTGGAAAATCTTAATAGGTCTAACAACAACAACAACAATAACAACAACAACAGCAACAACAACAACAACAACAACAACAACAACAATAACAAGAAACTATCAGTGGTAGTCATAAAACACTTTTGTTGTCAATTAACAGAGCTAAACATAATAATATTATAGCTATACGCCTTGACGAGTGGGTGGTTGACGGGTTCTCACGTGTAACTTGCTCTTTCTTTATTATCAAACATTTATCAACCTTATCTCTTCTCACTTTTTTCTTTGTATATTACGCTCTGCTTACACCTCTAAACCACACCACTTAAACATCTGTTTGTGTTGTAATTGGCGTAAAACTCTCATTACAACTAAACTATCTCAGTTTCTTTTCTTCCTATATTACCCTGTGGTAACAACTCTAATCTCCGCCACTTATATGGTCTATTTGTGTTGCAATTGCCGTAAAACTATTTGTAAAACTAACTTATCGATCCTTCTTTCCTTTGTATATTATTACTCTCCGATAACCTATGTAAACGTCTGCACGTATGTGACCAGTTTGTGTTGCGAGTGCCATAAAACTCTTACTAAAATTGAATTATCTCAATTTTCTTTCCTTTAAATTTCTCTCTGGTAACACCTCAAATCAAACCTTGGCTACATATTTGCCCTGTTTATGTTAAAAGTACCATAAAAGTCTTATTAAAACTAAAAACTAAATAACACTAAACAGCAATAACCCTTGACGACTAGACCATTCTCTGGTGCGCACAGCCGGGAACTCACAAGAACCAGTATGAACTACTCGGTAAACATCACGGGCAGCCCCAGCCACAACATGTCGTACGACAGTGGCGTCATGGACAACTTTGCCTACAACGTCCTCCAATACGCCAACGCCTGCGCCGCTTTCCTCTTCTCCGTACTCGGAATTGGGACCAACGTCATCAACGTAAAAACCTTCATCCGTATGGGTTTGGATGACGGCGTAACTGTCTCCTTTCTAGGACTGTCCGTCTCCGATTTGACAGTGTCCATGCTGAACCTGTGTAACAGCGTGTCTTTGTTCTGCCATGCCTTAGAGCGTTCACTCGGACACCTGTTCCGGCTTGACCCTATGTGGTGTGTGGTGTTCTTCACCAACCTCGGTACCGCCATCTACGTGGTGACCATGCTGAACACTGTCTTCTTAGCTCTGGCGCGGTGTATGTGTGTGGTGAAACCACTCCACTTCAAACACGCCTTCACGCCGATGCGCTCTGTGGTGATCATCGCTGTGTTCAACGTGTTCGCACTGGTTCTCTACATCCCGATTTTCGTACACACCGGGGTCACCACTGAGTTCAGTACAGATCTTAATGCCACTCGCAAGGTCATCTGGCTCTCTCCGGACCGAGAGAAGTTCAAGGACGGTGTTCTTCTCATCTCCTTGACTATCGTCCCTTTCTCTTCGCAGTTCATCGTCACCTTCTGCGTCATCCTCCTCAGCTGGAGCCTCCGGAAAGCTTCTAAATTTAGATTCACGTCATCGTCTGCTTCCTCCGGTGTCACTGCTGCTAAGCAAAACGGGGATAACGCGCTAGACTCTTCAGGCCCCGACGAGGGTAAGAATCCGGCAAAATGGCGCCTCACGGGCAAAGATCTTCAGGTGGTACGCCAAGTTGTCCTTATTTCAACTATCTTCATCGTGCTGAACACGCCTATGGTGATGCTGGGCTTGTCCGGTCTGCTGCTGGCCGGCTTTGACGCCAGTTGGAGCGCTGACCGCTACGTCCGACTCTACTACTCCGGCCACTTCATGCGGCGAGTGTTTGAGCAGGTGAACAGCTCCGTGAACATCTTCATCTACTACAGCTACAACACCTCCTTCCGCACACACTTCGCGCTGGCCTGGGGGAACAAGAAGGACAAGTCCTAGAGAGTGAGCTGAAGGATTATCTTTCCACTTTAGCTTCAAGATTTGAACTTTTTTTTCCATACATTTTTACGCCCACATCGACCTAACTTTGATATTCAGGAGGTAGCTTCTGACCATGCCTCTGAGCATTCTTTTTTTTCTTCTTGTTTTTAATGTATATCATACCCGCTCCACTTGTGGGAGAAAACTGATATAAAAGTTTGGAAGTAAACTTGATTTGTGTACTCTATTTTTAAACTGATTACTTATTTCAAATTCTGTGGAAATTTAGAGCCTTAAGTAGGCATAAAATAGACCAATCTAAAAACAGTTTTTGGGACTTGCAGGAATGGCGTAAGAAATAGTGGTTGGACCCCTTCACATTTGAGCCTGTGCTTCTTAGAGTCAGTCAATAAGCTACCCTAGAATTACAAAGTTCTATCTGCTCAGTACCTAGTTTTGAAAAATTTGACGTAAAATTTTTGAGTTTCACAACTTGTCAAGGTTTTTTTTAAATGCAAATTTTAATAACGACTCTGAATGTTCTTACGATTTTTATAGAGTATGTAGAACATTTGGTTTCTGAACTCGAAGTGTTAATAATGCTAAACGACCAAACTGTCAGATAGAACTTTGAAATTCTGGGGTAGAGAAGTATGTTACCAACTGCGTAATAGCAAGGAAAACGAGAGAAAGGAAGACATTTGAGGGTCTTGGACAAGTCTCAAAAATGGAATGTCACTAAAAAGAATACAAACAGCAAAATCCCCCTCCCCCCAAAAAAAACAAAAAACAACCCAACAACAGACACACACAGAAAATAACAAACAATACAAAACAATACAAAACAAACAATCAAACAAAACAAAAGAAAACAAACTTACTAACTAACAAAAATCCAAAGAAAATCAACAATAACAAAACCCAAAGTGGGTTCTTATTTCGTAGAACATGCTATACAATACGAACAACAACTGTATTAGAAGCTACAACAGCAGTAATAGCAGCAATAGCAACAGAACAATAATTTTAAAAAAACAAATTAAATGGGAACTTTTAACTTAAATAACAACAACAACATCCCCATTAGCAGCATCTAAGACAGCGGTGGCAACAACAGGAATAACAGACGAAAAGAGTTACATGTACAGAAGAAAAGTTGAAACAACAGATAACAGCAGCTGTAGTAACATATTCTTGTCGTTACATTGACAAAGAAAACAGGCAAATGACTACGACACTTGGAGCACATTGTCATGACAAACTCGTGTAGGTACGAAATATCAAAATTCGGGGCTTGTTACATTATTATACAGCTGTACGATAGAATACTTTGCTGATAGAAAATCATCGCGAGTACAAAAGCACAAGATGAAGACACAAGAAAAACAAAATAATTTTTTTGAAGGTTGGGATTGGGTATGACAGGGGTGGATGGAAGATTTATTTTCATTGTGCATGTTAGTAGGCAGGAGAATGGGGATTGTCTCTTTACTATAATATTTTGGAGATGTTCTGAAGAGTATTGTGCTCCTCTTTGTCAACTACTCAATTTAGCTTTTATTCTGTGATATGAAAATTGCTTTAAAAAAGATGATGACAAATAAAAAGTCATGCTACCAACCCAAAGGAGACCGTTCTCGTAGAGTGTGTGTGAAGGCAGATATAATGTGTTGTTTACTTTTCCTTTTCCTTTGACCTTCCGTTGATATCCGTGTTGTTGCAGGGAGACTGTTCACTACCTCAGAATTACAAAGTTCTATCTACTCAGTACCTAGTTTTGAGAAATTTGACGCAAAAATGTTTGAGTTTCACAACATATCAAGCTTTTTCGAATGCAATTATTTGAACATCTTGATAACAATATCGAATAATCTTGCGATTTTGATAGAGCGGAAAGAACATTTGGTTTCTGACCTTATGGTCTTTGTAACTCAAAACAGCCAAATAATGTCAGATAGAACGTTGCGATTTGGAGGCAGTGAATTATCTTCCAGCTGCGAGTTGAGTGGCTTGGAGTGGGTGGTTGGCGGGTGCTCTGGTGTGGTTTGCTCCTTCTTTCCTATAAAAGACTTATCGTCTCTATCTCTCCTCCTTCTTTTTTGTGTTTGTTACTCTCTTGTAATACATCTAATCTTCGGCACTTATATGACCTTATTGTGTTGCAAGTACCGTAAAACTCTTACTCAAACTAAAGAGTGGCTTGGAGGAGGGTCACATTGTGGTCACTGAGGATGTCCTTTACAGTTGAGTCAATCCAGCAATGTCTTGTTTGTCCACTGAAAAGCAATGCTTTTATTTTGTTCTCCAACTCTCCCCAGCCCATTCCACCCCGTACTGCTGTTCCCATGGCACATGCACTCGAGTGAACCTTGCCTAAAATGTGAAGCATCCTGGTGAGATCAGGTGCTTGTCAAAATAATGAAATTGAAGAAATCAGCTTTTTTTCGCCCATAATTTTGCAATTTTTATTGAATTTGAACATAAATAATCCTTGTCTGTTTGATCACACATTGGGTCCATCTCTGTCTGAGTTGGCCTTGACTCAGTGACTGGCAGTGTCAAAGCAGCCCAGCTCCTAAATGACACCACCTTAACCCTATCCGTACGTCGTGTTTTACGATCGTATCCATATGACGTGGGGAACTCTGTGCCACCACTTTCCAAAGAGGAAATTTACTCGTTAATCCGATCCGTACGCTTTGCATAGCAGTCTGTCAAACTAATTTTTTGAGAAATACTGAAAGTATCAAAGAGATCTTCGAACTAGAAGTATTCTAGAATACAACCCCGGGGGTACAAAATGACCCCAGGGCGTACGGATAGGGTTAATGATCTAAATTGTGTCGATAGGGACATAAAAGATAAATTATTAAATTTGACAGGTTTTTTTTTATATTGTAGGCTACCAATGTAGTCCTATTTGTTTGCAACATCTTGGAGTGTGATGTGGGAGTAGGCCTATCCAAGTCCAAGATTTTCTACCCACTTCTTTTTTTAGTTTTAGTAAGGGTTTTACAGCACTTACAACACAATAAGGTCATATATATAAGTGCCGAAGATTAGAGGTGTTTCTAGAAAGTAACGAATAGAAAAAAGAAGGAGGAGCAATACGGGCGATGGATGTTTGATAGGAAAGAAGGAGCAAACCACACCAGAGTACCCGTCAACCACCAACTTCCATGACAAACTTCGCTTTGTTCTATTGGAGAACAAACACACAAAAAAGGTGAAACTGTATAGGTTTAACACCCCTATCTACACTTTCTGGTCATTTCTGAGCTAAACATCCATATCCGAAAAGACCGAGCTAAGTGGAAAATGTGTGCAAAGTGGCTGTCCCAATAAGGAAACAACGTTGGACTGAACTGAGGCTTGAACCCCCAAACCCACAATCTCATGACTGCGAGTCCGGTAGCCTAACCACTGTAGCGGCTACCGTCGCCACTCACAACAAAAAAGAAGGAGAGATCAGGGTGTTATAGTGTTTGATAGGGAAGAAGAGAGAGAGATCAGGAGAATAGATGTTTGATAGAGAAGAAGGAGCAAAAAACATCAGAGCACCTGCATAAACCTATTAAAAACATTGAGTAAAGATACGCTCATCGGCATAATGATGGTCATTTAGTGCTGGGAAAAAGTAAGACAGACAGACAGACAGAAATAAAAGAGGGAAAGTAAAGAAGTAGGACCTACCACTGGCACCCTCCAACCACCGGCATTATTAAAAGTGACATTAAACAAAAACGCTAACAACATTCAAAGTCTTCACGATGTCTGCCTGTTACCATCAGGGCAATGCATTACATGAGACTGCTTGAAATTGCTGCCTACCTCTCATAGTTTTAGTAGTTTTAGTAAGAGTTTAACAGCATTTGTAACACAATTAAACAATCCTAGGGGCATATGGTCGCTTTTAAGGACTAGCGGCTAACCCAGATTTCGGGGGTTTCCAGAAATCTTGACCTACACCAAAAGTGGGCATTGCCCTACCTATAGAGGAGAAGTTTGGTTTCATTAGTGTGTATATTTGTTTGGTTATAGAGAAAACTCTCCTTGTTTTTTAAAGAACCTGAACAAGGGGCAAAAGTTTAACCTTCGATTTTCTCAAAACAGCGTTTTTCGGGTAGCCCCCTTGTGCTTAAAAGCGACCGTATGTGCCTGAGATTAGAGGTGTTACTAAAGAGTAGGCCCAACATACATAGAAAAGAACAAGCGTAGGATGAGAGATTTTATAAGGACAGTTAATAAATGTTTGATAGGAAAGAAGGAGCAAACCACATTATAGAGCATCTGTAAATCACCCACTATCTACCTCTCTTCACCTTGTCTATTTTTTTTTAAGAAAGAAAAAGTCCCCACTACGATTATATTCTTATTTTTTAACGTAGGACACGATCTATAATTTTTTAGGAGCAAGCTCCCTACCCTGTTTGTTAGTGCAAACCCAGGCTGAGAGGGATCCAACTTCCCAGCACAAAGACAGAGATACTCAATCTGTCCCTGTGGTTTTACGTACCTCGCATAATTTAGCAAAATTTGATCATTTTTCGCATAATTTCTGATTATTTTCCTTTATCATTCTTTGTTAAAAATGAACAGAAGCGCACAATTTCACATTTTTTGGGCTCAGTTTGCATAATTTCAGAATTTTTCTTGCACAAAACGACGCGGACAGCTCAATGAAAATTTCTCCCCATTTGGGAATCAAACTCAGGTCTCCTGCATGTGACAGCAAAGTGGCTAACCACTACAACCATTGACATCGATTACAATTTTGGTTGCTCTTGCAATACTAAACGGTTATTTATGAAGCCGGACATCCGAATTTAACATCCGGTCCATCTCCGATATGACCAAGACAAATGGGGACATTTCATGTAGGCCTACGACAGTGCCTTCCTCAAGGACAAATTGTCTAACTAGGCTGAACTTTGGTCACACGAACCTGCAATCTCACGGTTACAAGTCTGGTAGCCTGAACCACTCAAGTAAAAATGCCACAAAGCTGTTTTTTTGTT